TAGAATTTGATGTTTTAGATCCTAATTGTTTTTCTTCCATCCTCTATTCTTAGTTGAAGTGGGAGAGGAACTATAGATGAAGGAGGAATGCAAATTGTCATGGAATCTCACCGAGAAACCCCTCAATGCATAAAAAAGGGGGAAAAAGGGAAAACGGAAAATTGCGTGAGGCAGTGACAAGACCGAGGGGTTCTCGTGTGCACTTAAATCAGCAGGGTACAACTTACGAGACCGGAGTTAAATGAATGCAGATTGACCCGAAGAGCATTTTTGTCGTGAAAGCAATCCACTTTAACCGGATTGAAGGAGGGGGTCAAAATAATGGAGTGAAAGTAAGGCCTCGTTGCAAGAGTTCGGTCTGGGGATGGTAGAAGACAGGAGTGGGGTTGAGTCAAGAAAGAGTAGAATTGTGGGCATTAGCTAGGTAATTCTACCAATGGTGCCATCCGAGGGATAGAGATCTCGAAAAAGGGTGAAGATGGCGTACCGTTCCGTTATTGGCTTAAATCAAACAAACTTGAATGAGTTTCAACACCTCTCAATGCAGACGAATGACCTAAAATTGAGCATAAGAACAAGAAAATGGCCAACGAACTATTATTTTCTCAGCATTAAAAATATTCTTGGTTAATTTTTCATCAGCCTTTTTCACAATATTGAAATATTATTACATGCGCCTTGGAATAACAATATTTGCCAAATTGGCACCTATCAGTCGATTTTGGGGGAGAGGAGTGGTGTGCGTCGGGAAAAAAATGACTGATTTTATTTTCACACTCTGAAAAAGCTCATGGACTTACTTGAGTTTAAAGTTTTCAATCAATTAATCAAATATCTGAGGATTTGAAATGGTTAACTTAAAGACGGCAAGGAAAAACAACCTGGATAATAATGATTTGTCTGGTCGTGGAAATTCATTTTAATATTCGTCTGATGTGAAAAAAATCGCCCTCTCGAAATGTTGTCCTGCTTGAGAGCCAACCACAAAATTTTTTCACAGGTTCCTAATTAATGCATTGGTCGAAAATTTCTCATAGAAATCATTAAAAGTAAATGCTATGAAGACTTGCTCAGATATTATACGGACCGATCACCTAATGGCGCCATCATTAAAAATGAACTTTTGTAATTGGGCTTTTCGGGCGAGACTCAGGTTAGATTCGGTGGCTGGTTTTTAACTCGTTCTTCGCGAGAAAATCGATAAAAATCGCGGCACTCAATCGGAAGCAGAACAGCCTTTGTTTTTTTGCAACAGCAGCTTGTTTGTTTACCATTTTTGTTTTCTTTTTACCCACGGCTTTTGTCCGCAGCGAGCGTTTTGATTGATAAAGAGCTAATCAAGGCTCCCCCGCTGTGTCGGAAGCTTTTTCTACGCTTTTGAGTTCTTTTGTTAGGCTAAGTGTTCGGTTTCTCTCATTTTCCTCTTACAATAACACGTAACTGGCTCTCCACTCGAACTTTTTAGTTGTGATTCCACGCTCCACTTTCAATGCATTCTTGCCGGGCAGTGCGTAAATTTGCAGGTTTATATTACATCTCAGTTTTTACAAAGTACCATCAGACGAATTTAGCTGGATACCTAACTGTATTTCACATGATCTACTTTTCTTTCAACAAAACAAATTCTTACTAATTAAATATTGGGAATAGAATTGCCATGACCAACGATTATGATTACAAGTGCGTTTGCTTTCATAGCATCAGTCTAGTCTTAAATCCGAGCGGCGCATGTCGTGAGATTTTCCTTCAGATTTCAGTATAGGCAAAAAGCGTACCGCAATGCGCGAATAGTTGCTTGCTTCGGATTAGCATTTAAGATCATATGTATCGTTTCTCGATCTATGAGCCGTGGTTGATTTTCATAAGAATAACAAAATGGGAAGCTTTGCTCGTGAAAGTGTGAAGAGGCAACTCGAGAATACTTACGCTGGATTTTGAAAACGACATACAACTTCCAATGCTAATCATTTCCCAATTCTTAAAAAAATGAATTATTTGCATTGTATCGATAGTTTAATGACTCTATTATTTATGTACCAAGTAAAATTCTCGGAATAATACCCTTAGTACTTTTGTCTACTTATGGAAGTCAAGCATTTCTGAGTTGAATCAGATTCAAAAGCAATAGGGTTCTCTTAATAATCAAACTGAATTGAATCTATGTTCAACTTTAAGCGACTAACAAAGCTTCATGAGAACTTTACGTTGACGTCACAGATGAAGCATGAATTTCACAGATTTGTTTATAAGTCAATCTGAACTTAATCTATACCAGCGGGCCGATTATTGAAACTGATGGACAAAGTGATAGACAAAGAAGACATAGGGAGTATGGAGCGATCCTATTGGTTGACATGTTTGGTTCTTATAGACTATGGAAGAAAATGATGGACCAACTGTTGGGTCTTTAATGGGTTGCCGTTAGGTAGTCCATTACCTACCTCCTATGTCCATTGCCACCACCTGCTTCCACCAATAGGATTCCTCCAAATCCCTTTTGTTGTCTTCGTCTATAGCTTTGTCTATCAGTTCCAATAATCGGCCCGCTGAATTCTGATACATCTCGTGCAGGTTAATACAATTTTGAAAAATCTGAGATTTGAGTTGACTCGACATTCAATTTAACAAGTGCCTCTCACAACAAGAGCTGGGTTCGATAAATGACTCGAAAGTAAAATGCAAAATAGTAAAGAAGGGGTCAAAATCCAGGTTCAGGAGGGAGATTAAAAATATATATGCGGCCTCCAAAAAGAGGGAAACGTGCGAGGATCGTGGAATAAAGACGGCGCAAAAGTGAAAATAAGCGTGAAAAAGAGGAGATAAAACTTTAACAAGCATTCGAATCTTCCGAAACGATTAAAGCCGTAAAACAGGGGCATCGCATCGGTTCCTCCTCGCAGCTGAGCCAGTTCCGCGACTCTGTAATCGTCTGCAAGTCTATTGTTTTCTTTTGGCGTGAATTCGCTCGTTGCGTAGTTTCAGCGGGATATTGCGGGAGACGCGACAGAGCAAATTATTCGGAAAAGTACAATGAACTAGATTTGACCATACGCTGAAAGAGTCCTATGTACCGAATACGTCACTGTTCAAGTAATGACTCAACTATTGGAAGGAGTTTTTGAAAAAATATTAAAGTAATTCTTCTTCTTTCTGCATCCTTCTCCTCCCATTTTTTGACTAATGCAGGCCCTGTTTGTCCAGCTCGAAGATGCGAAATGAAATTTCACAGAATGGAATTTCATTTTTCTGAAAAGTAAAATTTCATTTTCTATGAAATTTTAAAGTTTTTTTAGGGGCAGCTGCGCAACCCGCAACACTCATCGAAGAATTCGTTGAAAACTTCGAAATTGACTCATGATAATTTTATTTTCAACATTAAGGTTATACAGTTTAACCCTTTATTGCATAGCGTTGCATGAAAGCAACAAATGTTCTTTTGGCTTAAAAAAACGAGCTGAGGGTGTGTTTGGCTGTGTTTCCGTGGCATTAAATTTCGTCAAGGCAATGAATGGTTTTTTGAGAGGATCAGAGGTCTGATTTCCAAAGTTTTCAAAAAAAATGTAAATTGGGACTTATCTGTTCCTATAATCTTACAGAAACACTGTTCATAAATATGTGTTTAATGGTGTACAGAGTCAATCGCAGAAGTCGTAATTTTTTTAAAAATAATACATGGATAGTTTTTTTTTAAAATATTTATTTTATTATTTTTTAAAACATTGGTTTGAATATAAGCTAAATTTATCCTCTGCACCCCGCCTAAATTAACGGAGTAGGACGTTTTCTCAAAACAATGCGCACGGTTTAATGATTCAACGCAGAATTGTTTTGGATGGAAGTAAGCCGACTTTAAAACGAACAAAATACGACACACTTTCGAGCTTAAACGTTCAGAAATTATAATTTAGAGGGAAAAGGAAGGTTAAGTTCAAAGAGAGCGAAAAATTATGGGCTACCGAGACGGGAGGGAGGGAGGGGGGAGGGCCGGAAAGCGGAAAAGGAAAGTGCAAGGGGCGGAATCCGCAGGAAGATAAATAAAATACGCGGAGAAACACACATTTTCACGTATTCTCGAGGATGTGTGAGAACTCGTGCGTATAGAGCCGTATACATGTAGATTACAAAGAAAAGAAAAGATGAGGGGTATACAAAGACAAAATGGCCTCCCCAGAGGATTCAACGTCAGGGAAATATAATAAGACACATGGGGGTTTCTCAGTTTATTTTCCAATGCTACTGAATTACGCTACGTTCTGCTCCGCACATACACGTACTCGCGTAAATGTGTACATTGTAAAACTCCGGTAACTGGGCCGTATATATTTTTATGCGTCTTCGTCTTCCTGTCGCGCGCGTGTGGTAGATATTAAAGGTAGTTATGCACTTACAACGACTTCATCAACAGGCATCATCTCCCTTCGCTTTGCCCTCTTTTTAACCCTCCCGAAAAATTCAATTTCAAATAAAGGTATCCTCGGGGCCAGAGGATCCGGCATATCGACGGTGAAACTACCAAACCACGTATCTCGTTTGCGGTGTTAAAAAATCTACGCTCACATTTTATTTTTTTGAAGTAGACCAAATCAATATCATTCCTTGAAATTTTCACGGAATTTTCTCCGCACAAAGAGAAAAAATCACAGAAATTTTCAAGACTAGATGTTAAGTAGTTTTTCATTTAAAAAATAAAGTATGACATGGAAGTCTGCGACGTCGCAAACCGAGATACGTGGTTTGGTAGTTTCACCGTCGATATACTTTCAATCCAAATAGAATGTTCTACTGCCCGCAGTCCAGGGAAGGGTTTTGTACATTTATGTGCGATGCGTTCTAAAAAAATTGCGCTGAACTTTCTTTAGAAGAATATCTGTATGAAATTAATGGATTTTGAATATGTTTACCATACATATATGTTTCATGCACATGCTTCGCTTATTTATACACGCTCATTTTCACGGATACAGTAAATACTTGAAACAAGAAAAGTCACACGATCTTACCTGTCGATAATAACAGGATCTGACGGAGTTTCATTCCTGTTACCACAGCTTTTTTTATCACAGCAACGACTGGAAAAAGAAATCACACCAAGTCAGCATCATAATTTTATGAGATTTTTTTAAGTTGTATGTTCGTTAAAATTTAAATAGAACATTAAAGTCTGGCGTAAAGAACATGTTAACAATTTTTTTAGCTTTCATTAGTATTCTAGCGCCAAAATACGATTTTGTGACAAATGTGACTATGATATTTTTAACAAAAGCGAGATAACAGAAAAAATGAGCCTTTGCAAGGTGATCGATGTCATTGCTGCCGTGCTTGGGAAAAATGTTGTATGTCGTAACATTCCAAGGTTGTCAAATTCCTCCTGAATATAATATTTAATTATAAGGAAAGCTACGAATATTTTTCCCTATATATTTCATAGAGATTAGATCAAATTGTGAAGAAAATTCTCTCTAAAATTTGCAGAAAAAGAGCTTCGCGATTCCTTGAAAATTCTCATTTTATCAAAGGAAATCTAGGAATATTTGAAGGCTTACACGGCTTTCTTCCTTAGCACGGCAGGATGATGTACCCTGATTTTGGTTCCCACAATTGAAATAATGAGCCACGATAAAAAGTATCCGATGCAAATTTTGAGTGTTGCCGATCAAAATTAAGAGGCGCCTCCCCTTTTTGATCAACATAAATCGTGAATGGAACATAAAAAGGCATGTATTCGACAATCTGTTTGCGATTTATGTTGATCTAAAGTAACGGCGCCTCCTAATTATGATTGGCAACACCTAACTTTCGTATCAATAACCCATTTTAATGGGATCATATTGATCGTGGAAACCGAGCTCTGCGGCTCGATTATCGAATCGATATCGAATGATTGTGATCGATTAATCCCTATCTTGGCAATGTTTTTGATCGATCAAAGTCATTCGATATCCATTCAAGAATCGAGCCGCTGGGATTAAACTCTGCTCTCTTCCTCCCCCGACTTGACAACGATCCGCAGGTGAGTAGGAACGGAATCTACGCTTACATGATTCCCGAAATGTTCAAAAGAATACAATGAGGGCTGAGGAGGATGACTCACCCCAGATCGAAAGAAGCGTTTTTGAGACGAGTCACGACGGATCGCATCGCGGCGCGTCAGCCATGCTGCTCCTTCCCGAAAAAGTATTTTGGGCGGTCTATCTTAGGGGAGCTCGCACAAAGACTCCATTCCTTTTATTTAACTACATCGAACGAGTATAAATATTTATCGAAGCCCGAGATACGGGTGATGAATCGTCCGCAGCCAACCACATCCAAACTTTCTCCATTAGTTACCGATTCATAAACAGTTTGTCATCTGTTATGACAGTTCACGGATGTTCCGAAAACCTCCGAGACATGCCAAATTATCCGGAATCCGATTCAGCACACTCACTAATGCCGTTAGGGATAGGTAACCTCGCCTTATTTTTTGGATCATTAATAAGCCCGCTATGACGTTCGGATAATGCCATGGGGGCTCGGATGGGATTTCACAGAAATATGTGGTTTGTAGCCCCGCAGATGGACACAGGAATGGGGTCTGGGCTGCAAGTTGCTTTGCAGATAAAGAGGAACGTGAAGAAACCTTTATTATAGTGTTCGTCTTCATCTTTGGCTTTCGACTCATTCCATGAAATATTAAATTTGAGGGGAAAATGATCACTTACCTACACATGACTTCATGTGTCAAAAGTACCCGGCACATCTCCGGATTTTTGTCTTGGCCCTCATAAATGATTGCCTGAAACATAGAAAACCATGGTCAAAATCCTTCGCTCAGATTTTATGAATACTTAATTCTAGAAATAATTCATGAATGAACATGACCGTCAATATTGAAAATTAACTCCTTTAAGGCAAAAAACTGAGACTTTGGCAAAATTGAGCTGGGTTAAAACGATGCAGATGATGAGACAGATTTTTCAAGGAAACAATACTGATTTCTTTAAACGATAAATCAATTTTGAAAAACTCATCACTTTCTCTATAAATTTTTGTTCGAAGACCTTCCTGGGTCCCAGCCTCGGGACGTATCACAACTCCTTAGGAAGGGACTCAGGAAGGTCTTAAAACGTGCAGACTAACAAAAATCTATAGTGAAAATGGTAAGTATTTTAAGTTGATTTATCTAAATTTATTTTTTCGGTTTGTTTTAAAATTTCTGTCACTGATTTCTCTACTCTTATTAAATCAAAGCAGCTCTGAATTTTTGCCTATCATGTGCAAAATCGGCCATCGACTCGTGCAGTTGAGACATAACGCATATTTAAAATTGATTAATATACAACTATGATAAAAAAGTGGGCCAAGACCTTGCTGGCTAATTGTTCCTGATAGTCCCCCCATCCCTGTCATAGCTAACATATTTACCTTAATTTTTACTCTAGTATGGATGATTAATTAACTTTAAGGACAAACAGCAGAGGCTGTTGGGCGCACCAGTGTACAGATCAAGTTGGCGATCATACGATCATAGCCAAGTTTACGACGTGACACTGCATGCATTATGTAGTGTATACTTAACATGGAGAAAAAAATCACATATGGAACACAATTTCCCTTATGGAGTTATGCTGTTTGGCGCAACACCAGTTCTCTCACCAATTAGAACTTTGAAGACCCTTCATGACCAGGTATCTCGCGACTTTACGTAACCATTTTTTCTCATCGAAGTAAAAGTTACGGGGATGTGAGTAGCGCTCAGGAAGAAAACGTCGGGAATTGAATTAGCCGCGGAAGTTACTCTCCGTTCTGACGTTAACGTAAACCGCGTCAGGAGAGCGCGCGGGATACGAACAAAAGCCCGCCCGGCGAAAAGGCAAAAAGCGCACCCGGGATGTAAAATTTATGGACTCGGAGTAAATTTGAATGAGCGGTAAAAATAAAGGGAACGCCAAGGAAATCCGGGGAAGTCGCTGTCGCGCGGAGGGGGAATCAGGAAGATTAGTTTGCTCTTGGAAATTGATTATTAAAAAATAATGTGAGCGAGGGTGCGGTGCCGCGCAAGACGAGGGGAGCGCCACGCCGCGCGGCAAGTCCGTGTGATTCGAACCTAATTGCTTATGTAGGGAAAGCTTGTAATAAAAACATCTCCTAATACAAAATCAGGAGCGCCTAATCCCGGGCCTTAGCGAGGATTCCGGGGTTCCTAGCGAGTGGTCACCCTTCATATTAAAACCACACATCCACCAGGGCTCGCACCGTTGTGTTACGCGGTTTTAGAAACGAAAGTGTGGGACCCCTTCGCGAGTCTTCCTTGCGACCCCGATGCCCTGGATTAAGGATTTATGAATGACCAATAGAATCTTGTTTAATTGAATATAATAGGCCCAATCTCTCGGAGCCTTCGGTCTGTTGGCGAATACAGATATGTGCCGGAGAGGGCTGCATAATGTATCTTCATTCCTTTTCTTTTTTCTTCACCTCCGCGTTTCGTTTTCGACCTCAAAACGGCTCCTTGGGTTTTTGGCGTATTTTTATCCCCTTATCCGCGGCTCCTCCCTGCTTTGCTTACTTACCCGCGGATAGACTGAAATTCGGCGCATATATGGACTGAGTTAAGCAGAAAGGAACCAACCCACATTTTGGAAAAAAATTGAGTTATGAGTGGTTTTGAACTCAACCCCTGCTCTACTATCTATCGCCAAAAATTCAAAGTTTTTGTTGGAGCAAATTTTGCAGAAATTGAACTTGAAGTTTATCTTTTACATTGAGGCTTATGCAGGAGCCAAACTTTAAGCCTCTTTTTCTCGGTTCGATCCCGATGTGGCTTGGTTCCTTTCTGTTTAACTCCGTCCATATTAGACGCTTCACGTTTTCGCGGCGCGGGCATCGTGCCAACGTCCTCCTCCCTCTCCCCCTTTCCTGCCCCCACTTTTTTTCTGGCCTCCCGAACTCCATTCATCCTGGCTCTCGACTCCATTGTTTTGGGAGCACTCTGGATGGGGGATATTGATTTCAGGCTATATCTGATAGCCCGTGTAATGTTTTCTTCGATTATTTTAGTTATTTTTTTTTAAGCTTAAGTTTCAAGAGGAAGAATAGAAAAAAACCAAAAGCTTTCAGATATCATGATTTATGAACTTTAAAAGAATTTGAACACGGGAAAAATCATTTGATTTAAAATACTACATACGTGAATTATTTAAATTTCAGCTGTCTGTGTCTATAGACTCGTACTTATAACTGGACTATTTATGCTGAAAGGAACTATGTGCATAGAGTTTGCGTGCCCTTTAGCATAAATACGTCCAACTAATACAATAAATAAGAATGTTTTAATTACTGTGTAATTCGACTCATTTTAGTTTCAGCGTAACGAAATTGACGGTGCGGGGATAAGATTATTGGGTCATCCTCAAAGTTTGATTGAGGCCCTTCATTTTGAACTTATACTTTTGTGTCCTATTTTCTCATATTTTTTGAATGAGTGGTCCATCCTATTCCTCAAGTATGAAGGTTTAATTGTTACTCTCTTTTTCATTAAAAAAAGTTGGTAAAAACAGACAAAGTGCACCGGTCCTAAGTTATTCAATAATCACCGATATTAACATTTCGTTTTCTACAACGACAGCATTTAACCTGGTGAGCCTGAGCATACCAAAACTTCTGAATTAAATAAAATCACCATTCCACAATTTGATGAGGTATTTTTCGACACGTGAGAGAAAAGTATTTAATGATAGCGTTTTCTGTTACAAAATTTTATTTGCAATTGACGAGTTTTTCGCTTGATGGTCGTGATGTATCAGCATAAAAATGTGTAAAAAAGAAGGAAAAAGGCAGAATACGATTAAGATGAGAGATTCAGAGCAATTTCAATAGACGGAAAAAGGCAGCTAGGCGTATAGTGGTTGAGAGAGGCATAGGATACGGAGGAGAGAGAGGTGGAAGGAGAGAGAGGTGGAAGGGGAGAGGGATTAAAAATGAAAGGAGTCAGGAAATACGTACGCAGTTAATTCTATTTGTCTTCATTTGAGCAAACCGTGAAACCCCTGTAATCTCATTTGCCGCAGGAAGACGCCTTACATCTCCTGTTTTAGCCATCCTATCATCAGCTCCTTGTTAGAGAGCGTTTTCGTGGTTTTTCATCTTTCAATCTCCGACTTTCACTCCGACCTTGCATTTAAATTCGGCGTTGTCTCGTCCTCACTTTGACTGACAGTGTCTCGCCCTCCTCACCTTTGAAATTTTTATATATGGTTTCAGTCACGGGTGCTCTCGCAAAATTCCTGCCGACAGGATCAGAAACTATTTTCAAGGTGCGGCTTTCATGAAAGATACCCTCACATTTTCTATTCTCTGTCTGAGGATTATAAGATTAGATTTTAGGAAAATTCTGCATCAATTATGGATCGAATTTCCCGGGTAAAAGAAAGGCCTTGCTTTTCCTCAAACAGCTTAATTGAACGTAATTCCACTAAAAAGAACTACGTTGCAAATTTTTCCTTTCCTTGTATTGAGTAAAGTCCATGAAATTCAAGAATTTTCATAAGATTCTCATTTTTTACTTTTCCTTCTTTTGTGACTCAAACTAATGGAATTTTTCAGATACCAGACCTCTGCAATACTTCATACAATCATACTTTGATGGAGATCTCAAATTTTTCTACATCAAGCATCCGCGATCGCCTTTTTCCGTACTCCATTTATCTATGGATAGAGAGAAAGAGCTAAGCTGCACGAGACTTCGGCAAACTCATCGAGATAGGCACAGGGCAACCGCGCGTGCAAAGCGCCTGCTTAAAAAGTTAATCCGAAAATAAAATAAATCGTTTATCGTGTATTTACTCGGCAAACGATGATGTTAGAAATCAGAGTTTCTGGCACCGGAGAACTTCCGAGATCATTTATATGCGAGCTTTATGTCTGTGTTTACACATGACTTTATCAGATAAAGCTTTTGTAAATGAGCCGCGCTTGCTTTCATCGCGATTCCGCTGGTTTCGCCGAGTCGGTGCCAATGTCAGCGCGTTATTCCATCAGACTTAATGTATTTTGTATGTTAAAACACGCTCACGTGTTGCTCCAGAGTGATTAATGTTCGATCGGTTTTCTCAGTCTCTATCGGTCGCGATCTTACTCTCATAGAGGTGCACTTGCGTTGCGATGTCAATAAAATCAATGGGACACCGAGAGAGGGCAACAAAACAATCGTTTTCTTATTCTGTTTTCTTCTCCTCTTTTTTTCAGATACAGCTCTGGTAGCGTTCGCTTTTAAAAGAGGTTCTTACTGGAATTTCGGGATCTTGATTTATTTTTTTGAGCTGGTAGGTATTTTCAATTCAAAATTTCAAGAGGAGAATATTACGCGATGCCCTTGACTCGATGGCGAAAAAAAACAACCCTGTCCATTTGTTGTTGTTGTTGTTGTTGTTGCTTTACGCGTGTTATATGAAGAAAATCCATGCGATTTTTAGTTAGAGATGTCCAAAATGGTTCTCTCTGAAAAATTAACTTGCGAGTGGACATTTTGCAACGCTGAAAGGTAGTTAAATTCTAGTAACGTCCGTAAAACGACGATAGGATCAATTAAGCTCAAAGCTTCTCAAAACTCAATATTTCTCGAAATCTGGGCGAGTTACTTTCTGATTAAATCAGTATATTTATAAAATCGAATTTTGTAGTATCAAAATACGAGTGAAAAAATGGCCAATCGAATATATTTGGCTATAACGGGCCATTTGGGCCAATTTGGCGTGAACACTCAAATCTCCGCTGTTTTTCCCTTCCGTTCACCAAGCTCACTGGATAAAAAAACACATTGGATCTAGAATCCAGACTCTTGAAAATATTGACAAGAAAAAATACTAAATAAGACTTGATTTAATCAGATTTTTGCTTAGATCAAAAGGAATTCTGCTCAAATTAAGAAGCTTGGTTCTTGATTTAAGCTTAAATCTGATTGAATCAAGAGTATTGTTTCTTGTCGATGTTTTTAAGAGTCTGGACTCTAGATCCAATGTGATTTTTTTTCCAGTGTTCCGTTCACCAAGGCGATAATGACAAAAACCGCGTGGCCGGCATGGGATCGCCAAAACCATATTCACACGCACGACCATATGCAGTAGGCGATTACACCATCATAACCCTGATTTTTTGTGTTTCGACAGATTTTTTTGCCGAATAAATCAGTGTAATTGATCAGCTGCGCGAAAACCGCGACTGCCGAACTTTCCGGCCCGCGTGAGTGGCGGCCGAGAGGAGTTATAACGATCTATCACGGGATGAATTATTAATGAGATTAGATGGAGACGGCGGCGTCAACGAGAGAGGCTGGCCGCCGCCGCCGCCGCCGCCGTTGCAGGGTGGAGGATCGCCGGTGCACGCCTCCCCGGCCGGAGCCCCGACCGCGTCTAACATCTGATAAGCAAGAACATAAGGAGGAACTTGAGCAAGGAAATCATCGACGGAAGCGGATTCAATTGGCTCAAGTCCTAGTATTTACCCAAAAGCACGCGGCTGCCCGGTATCCTCTGTTGCCGGCTCGATTTTCCTCTCAAAGGACGTGTAACACTGGTAAAAAAAACCTCTTGGTTCAAGAGTGCAGTTTCTTGTCGCTGGATTTAAGAGTCTGGACTCTTGTTTCAATGCAAAATCCGCTTGAATCAATGAAAAATCCGCTTGAATCAATGTAAAATCCGCTTGAAACAAGAGTTCAAGACTCTTATATCCGGCGACAAGAAACTGCACTCTTAAGTCAATGCAATGCGGCATTGGTCCAAGAGGTTTTTTTTACCAGCGAATGGAGCCTTTGTATGCTGCAGGGATTTGCAATAATTGACGACATTTCCCTGCGCTTTAAAAAAAAGCTCCGGTCCTGGAAGTTATTGTTACGGTCTGTTTGGACGTACCGTCCGTAACGGGCTCAGAGGCCGAAAGTTCCGCGTGATGGAGCCGTTGCTCCAGCTACTGAAACACAGCTACGGCTCATACACCCGGAACTTTCGGCATCAGAGACTGGAACGCAAGGTTTGTCTGTACAGCCCGTGACCATAGCTTTCACAGCCGTTACTTTTCCATATGTGTAAGTAAAATTTCGTGAACAACACGATGGTGCCACTGGTGTTTTATTAGACGAACTTCTAAGCTCATAAAGCGCATCGCAAGTTGCGTATGGAACCTGCAACAATGATCCGAGAATTTGTCAAGAAAATTCGAAAATTAACTCGTAATATTTTTTATTCTTCAAAATTTCGAGGTTAAGATTCCACTTTTTGTGATTTACTGACTACTGCGTCTATTAGAAATTGTTTAAAAAAGTTCCATGAAACAAAAAATTTGATGAAATTTTACGAAATTTGGTGAAATTTCATATTACAAAGTTTCATAAAATTTTGCATCGCTAGCTCATGGTATCATTCTCTTAACACAATGAATTCGTTCTTTCCCTGGGTAAAACATTTTTTTTAAAAAAACACACACCTATACAATTTGGCAACATTGGTAGGTTGGCCGCCAATCACGCCTCGAAGCTGGAAAAGGGGGGCCCCGGTGCCGGTTCGGGGCGGGGTGGCGCCCTGCCGCCGGGCACGTGCCCACCCTCCGCCGGGCGACCGCTCGACGTTAGTAAACATTACAATTTACCCCTCGCGCCATCACCCGCCCGACCGCCGTTCGGCCAAAAGGCTTGCCCACTCGTTAAACGATTGTATTTTGTACAGATCTGATTAGTATAAATGACTTTATCATTGTGTTCCTCTCCATCCGCTCTCGCTTCCGAGTTTAATTCCGAATAGTTCCGTTTTTTCTCATTCTCCACTGTTGCCTCCGGTAATCGGATCCTTCCTCACTTTGCAGCTCCGACAACTCTACTTACAGGGTGTTTCTTGGTGTGTAATTGTGTATGAATTGCAAAGTTTCTTTTCAAATTTTAGATGGTTCGGTTTTTCCTGGCTTTTTCATGCTTTTTTATGAAGTTGAAAATTCACGGTAAAATTGGGCATAAATGAGACGGAGTGACATAGAGGAGGAAAAGAGATGCGCGTAACTGTAGTTCACGTTGCTTTTCCTCTCAATTTTTTTTCTTGCAACAGAACACAGCTTCGTAATCTATTGAATTTTTTTGAACAGAATCCGTTAATTCTTGAGAATGTATTCACATTTTTTTTTTTTTTTTTTTTTTTTTTTTTTTTTTTTTTTTTTTTTTTTTTTTTTNTTTTTTTTTTTTTTTTTTTTTTTTAAGCGGAACGTTGCATTTTCTTTTTGTAAAAAATATAAATAAACAAAAAACACGAGAGGAAATTAGGCAACGTCTGATGCAATTAAGATAGGTGCCATCTAGTAATAATCAATATGTTTACATTAAACTGCTCAGACAAATTGTTTACTGCACGTTTCCAATCAAGATCAAATTTTATCGAAAATTTGTTGACAAATTTCGTGCTAAGACTCATTGCGTAAATCGACGGTGAAAGTCGGCAATCACATAACTCGGTTTGCGACGTCGCAGACTTCCTGTCATACTTTATTTTTTAAATGGAAAACTACTCAACGGCAATTCTTTAAAACTGTCATAATTTTTCTTCTCAATGCGAAGAAAATTCTGCAAAAACTTCAAGAAATAATATCAATTTGTTTTCCTTTAAAAAAATGACGTAGAGGCGGAGATTTTCGGACACCGCAAACGAGTTATGTGATTGCCGACTTTCACCGTCGAAATACCTTTTAACAATGTAAATTTACTTTAAAAACACGAAATTAAGTATAAAAGGCACCTTCCTTTTTTCTTTGCAAAGAGTTGTGGGGTTCAGAGTCAGAAGTTCTATGATAAACGCGCCAACTAAGAGCGAAAATTGTGATACAACTATTACCACTCTCCGGAGCTCAAATTGCATAACCGACGAGTTGAAGGAAAACACAAAGTTCCGCTCACATTTCCATGAACTCACAGAAGATCGGTCAACTGCCTCGTTATTCACATGTGAATGAGAAGTCGAAAATGTTGTGAGAATCTTCAGGTTCACATCTGTGTACCCTATCACGAATCAAGTATAAGTATTAATGCTTCACTACTTTATCTCTGCTTCATTACTTCATTCTTTATTCACGAATAAACACATCAGCTTTCATTGTAAAATACCACTTTAATTTCATTAATTTTGTTGACCTCTTACGTATAATACTCTCTCATGACAAGAAACTGTGTTCAATTAATGTCCATTCATTTTTGCCAGGCAGTGTAATCTATGCAAATTGTCTAAACTAGGAGAGTCCTATCCATTATTTTACCCAAGACGAAGGGATGATGATAGACTTAATCGAAGTTGATCGTGCAAAGGGAAAGATGAATATTATTATAGACATGTAAAGGGGTCTTACCTGTTTGGTAACTGAGTCTATTAGTCTGACAAATATATCTTGTTCTTGCCTTATACCTGAAACGAGATAAAAACAGCATTAGTTACCAAAAAATCAGAGAGGCAAGTCACTGAGAAAAATGCCCAAGTTAATAATGCCTGAAGAAGAATTCTCGTTGAGTCAACTGGAAATATTTTTGGAGTGATTGGACGTCTCTTTGAAATTACCGTCGGTAACAGAGAGGTTTTCTGTGGACTCAACAAAAATTCTCATCCACTGATTCCAACAGATCATTGATCCAACAGAGAATATTTCAACGTGTATAATGAGATTATTTGAGTAAATTGACTTATATCCTCTTAGAACAAGTGATATCATTAGTTACCGTGCAACTCATGTCTCTTCACTTTATCAAGCATGAAAATTTTGACTGGCTATACCTAATCAGAATCAAATTAAACTACAATGAGGGCGAGCACAGTTCACAGAGGATTGTTCCCAAAGGAGGGCACTATAAAAATCCTAGCATTAGCTCCTTCGATACGTGGGTGTATATGTAAATGATCCTTAAATCAGGTATATTGGTCACGGAGTAATATGTAAATAATTATGCTCCTTGGCAATTAAGGAAGGGCAGAATTATTCGAGCTCAGCGACAGATCGGCCGGTAGACCGAACTGATCTCAAGTATCATTTGAACATCATCGCGCTAGCGTCCGTTCGAAAACTCGCGGATATTTTCCGGCGCAGGGATAAATTAAATTTGAATTTAAGCTCGGTAGATCCCCGGGAGCGGAGGAAAAGTCCTGGAGTCCGGCGAATCCGAAATCGAACCCTTTCCTGAGGCGTGGGCTTGACCAGGGATTAAGTGAGCGTGCTCATTATTGCCCGCTCCGCAGGTAACATATTTTAACAAAGGTTTCATTAATTTTCTTTCGATCGCTTCTGCTGATATTTATTTATTCCCTTTGTAACTGAAGGGCTTTCAGTAGGATTTGTCTCTTGCAGTGATACTCAATGCTTAACTCATTTGAAAAGTGGCGCCTGCTTTGCTTCCGGCTCTCTTTCGCTCATTAAACGCGCCCGGAGAAGCCTGAATGTTTCATCATTTTCCCCACTTCCACTCGCTTGATCGAGCGCTCCTTGTTCGGAAAACCGAACTGTACGTCGCAAACGCCATTTTAAACGTAGCCATCAATTGACCTTGTGCGTAAAGGTCCATAACAGCAGTATGAGCATCGCGGAACTGATTATTGAAATTTATACACAATAGACAAAGCTATAGACAAAGAAAAAATGGAGCGATTCCACTGGTTGAAACTAGTGGTATAGTGGTGGTTGCCATAGACTAAAGAAGAATAAGATGGACTATAATGTCTCACGTGGGTTGCCAGTCAATTCCTAACTTCCCATGTCCATCGCAAATTCCCGCTTCCAATAATTGGCTCCCTCGTTCTCTTTTTGTTTTCTTTGTCTATTGCTTTGTTTATAAAGTTCGAGGAACTTAGAGAAAAAGAGCTAAATTATAATATAAAATAAAGGAAAGGAAATAAAATTACCATTTGCGTATAATAATTGCAGTCTATATTGAATTCCATTGTTCGTTTTTTGAGCCTCTGACTCCTGAAAAAAAGATCGAGAAATTAGTGGATACATGTCATAAAAAACAACTTTAGAAGAATTAAAGAATTGAGTTTTTCGCTTGCACCTTTGAAGTCGTCGGCGTAAGATTTGAAAATTATCATTTTTACATTTTGGGAAAAATTAAAGAATATTACTCTATTATAAAGTATACCTCTCTATTATAAAGTATACCTCTCTATTATAACGTATACCTATCCTTGATCCTCAAATATTACAAGATCATCCTTTAATTTCTGTCAAAATTGAACCCCAAACCATCTTTTTTTACCAATTTCCAATTACCTTTGTCTTTTACTGTAGACTACGTAAAATCATGTTTACAAAACCACCCTGATTTGATTGAAAATATAAGCGAAACGTTTAAGAAGAGAAAGCCTGAGGCAGGGCTGCCAATTAATGGGTCATTTGCTTACCCTTATATTTGCTAAACTGCAAAAAAATTTTAAAAGAGAGGTAACGAAAGGCACGGAGAAGAGCAACCGAGGAAAGATCATTGGTTCATTTTTTTCGAAATTAACATGCAGGAATGGATATTAGAATAGAATCCAAGAAATTTTTCAGTGACATCCATTTTCACACGAATTTCCGAAACAGAAGTGAGCATGTTTAATTAGTCAAATGGTGGCCTAAGTTTAGATTGCATGCTGTATCGAAAGAATGTCGCGGGGTCTTCATGCAGAGTTGTCATTCCCCGAATAACCTTCTCTTTCTACTAAGTAATTTCAAACTTTGTCTGAGCGATCCGGCAAGCTTGTTTGCGTGTGCGCCCTTAGCGAGGCTTCCCAAACCTGATTGCATTAAAATAATTACTAAATACTTATAGTGGGTCCAGCTTTTTTTCATGAGCAATTTTTCCACGTATCAACCCCCGTCTAAGCTATCATTTTCCTTACTTAACTTCATTCCTTACTATTCACGTGCGTATGTATGATTATGAAAAGTAGCGTATTTCTGCCAAACGGAACTATGTGTATTATGACATGAGCCCTGTTAGGCATATATTCTTAAGGGTCTCAGGGCTCATGTCTTAATACACATAGTTCCGTTTGATAGAAATACGTCCACGTGAGGTCTACTCAGAGAGGCATTGCTTGACACAAACGCGGGCGGATTGCTGAAATTATACTTTTCTGTCAAAGAAATAACACAATATATAACCTAATTGGTACTATAAATATATCGATGAATGGAATTGAAACATGCGTATCACAAATTGCCCTCTAATCTGGAGCTTAGTACTACTTACTATACTTATAGTACTCAAATCAAATGGGGAAGCAGTCTATTACACTACTCTATAAATATTTTAACTGAAAACATTACTTTTTCTACTCTTACTTTAAATAAAGACATCCTCATTAGGTCAAATTTATGGACTTCCGAAAGATCTTAAATTGTAAAAAATCGCATTTTAATTTAGGCCTGTCCTCACTGTGTTAAGTATTTACTTTGCGCTAGTCTTTCAAACTAAACTTATATAAGGACACAATGCTGGTAAGTTGATGACGGACTGACACTTTATACAGATCTGCTGCTCTAAAATACCGAATTTTGATGAGGCTACAAATCTTCCGTCATCTCCACACATGGAAGAGGCGTAAACATTTTGTGTATAACAATTGATGATATTCACGTCCCATGACAAATCCCACGGATTTATCGTGTCTCATGCTGAAATGTTCAGATCTATTGCATGTCATGCTTCTCAGTCGGTTTATCACTCTTATTCTCTCTTCCTGGTTTTACAACTTGCTTCTGCTGGAAAGAAATTTTTAGCCCATGAAAACTTGCACGCCATATCTGATTGTAAGTCAATTTTCTGACTACTTGACAAAAAATAAATTTCATTGGGGCTAAATGTTACTACACACTAGAAATACACAATTCAGAATTTGTAGTAAAGGCACACACAACCTTTTTTAGATAGTCAAAAATACAAGAATATCGATGAGGTAGGGAATTTTACATGTCACGCAGTAATTTTTATTATCGTTGCTGAATGAATGCCTGAAAATAATTCATAATAAAAATGTAGAAAATTTTCATACTTACTTGATCCTTTTCTATAAAACCAATAAAAGCTGTCCTTTCAATTTCTATAGGTTGGCCACCCCTATCATAGAGGGCTATCACAAAATGGAAGAAATTTGATTTCCTTAAATTGCTAGGAGGTTGCTTTTCAAATTGAGCTCTACCCACACCCACACTGAAACAAAAATATGACAGGAAACAAATTAGATCCAATAAAAATAGCAATAACTAAAATTCTCTAGAATGGTGTAAAGCTAGTGAAGAAGAAACGGAATGTTCTAAAAAAGTAAAACAAACGATGGAAAACATTTACATGCAAAATTAACGGATTGAAAATAAAACACATTGTAAAAAAAGAGGCAAAATATGCTTTTAATTTTACAGGGTTGAGATTTGTGAGGTTTTTTCAGGACGGAGTTCATAATAAAATATTTCAAACACAAATCGTGTTTGCATTTTAAAATCAAGGATTTTTTTTTCTAAAAAAAATTAGAAAATAAAATAAAATAAAAAAACTCAAATGACTTATATTTTCAGAGAATAATTCCAAGTTAACGAAGGGTAAATAGGGAGCATGAAAAACACGTCAGGTTTTTTTTTCTTTCTTTTTTTTAAGGAAAAGTGAAAATAATGACTTTGTCACATCTGGTATCCATTTCTGCAAAATCAGATAATATTTGAGGGAATCCTCTACGCAATACATATCATGTCACACGTCGTAAGATACAAGTGACTTGCATAAAGATATTCACTTTGCTGCGTCTCACTATATTGCATGAAAAATTCGCTTGGTCGCAACTGGTCACACCAACTAAAATAAAATATCTCTTCTGAATCATTCAAGCTGCGAAGCACGCTTGTGAAACCAATTTCGGGAACGGACATCCAAATCCTTCCAAGAATCGCCAAACGCAGATATAATAATTCATTTTTCTTTCCGTTCACCCCAATGGATAGTTTTCTTGCCAGTTTTTTTTTACATTAGCGAGGGGCGTCGGAGGATATTTGGATGAATCATTGGGATCAGGTGCGCCTCTAACACCCCGTCTCTCTCCCCAGAGGGTTGAGCGCAGCGTGCTAACTTGCGCGGCAATCTTCACCCCGGTCGAAGTCAAGCAGATCTAAAATGAAACGTTAGATACTAAAAGAGTGCTAACAAACGTTTCTCAAGAGCTCATTACGCTTTTATGATTCGTACCGATTAATTTTATGGGCTCTGATTTTAGTTTACTATCAAGTGTCATTTAGATATACAGACGGAGACTAACTAAAATGCGCCAAGTCGTAGTTTGGACAAAATTTAGGGTAGTTTTGAATTTAACTGGTCGTAAATTTTCTCATGTCAAAAACTCGAAGTCAAAATAAAATATTTAGAATGTGAAACAGTTGTTGAACTCGAAGGCTGAACTAACACTGAGTTTTATGGAGGAATAAAACTTGAAACCTCTTTTTCTAGGTTCAACTTTGATGCATTTTTGTTGCAGTCGGTCCATGTGCGATAAAAAAATAACCCATGGTGTTAAAGGTTGCGTGTAAATTACACAGCTAAGCATAGGAAAATGCTATCAAGGCAAAATTGATGTTATTTACGATTAAGGTTCAGTTGCTATAGCAGCTGCGGAACAGTTGCTAATTGATATATTTGTATTAAGTGAATATAACAATTATCTGGGGCTGTAAAAGCATCAAGAATTCAAAAGTTTTTCGCGCGAAACAGCAGTAAGTACAGCTTTTTTGCAGAATAATTTGAACTCGCTATTTTGTCTGAAAACATTGTTTTGTCACATGAGTCTCGATTTTTACAAAAAATAAGCGAATTGTGCTGTTATAACTAAAGCAGTCTATTTATTTAAATTTAAATCTCGAAAATGTATACGTTACGTTTCTCTTTTGTAATACTGTGGTTCTGGTCCATTCTTCTTAGTGAGAACCCCAGGTGAACATTTTTAAATCAAAAGGAACTTTATCCGTTCTGACACGAGCCGCGAGATCCATAAAAATGCATAATAACAGGGCTCATGGTACAAGGGATATGTTTCCTTTGGATTCAAATGCGTCCAAGTAGATGACGGTAGGTCAACAAATGAAAGTGATCCAACGATCCCAATTTTGCACCCGAAAAACAATAAACGAATTATTTTTTCCCATGGCTCTTGCGACGAGTTCTTCTCGGAACCTGCAAAAACCCACGGAAGTCGTGCGAAACGCCTCGGATAGTCCTGTTAAAATCGGAGCCACGAACGACAGGTGGGGCGGAAAAGCATTCCGCTCTCATAACAAACAAAAGATGGAATCACGGTTGCCGAGATTCGGGAAGGGTTGCTAGACGGTGTCATCGCCGCGGTTTCGGGGCTCAACAATCATCGGATCGTCGAGACAATGCAGGCCCAAGCGGGGCGTTTGACAGATATATCATTGCGGTCGGAATCGGGAGCAAATTAGGAGACGGCTCCCCTACCTGTCGCGGGGGGTGGGGGCGGGTTTTTGCCGGGGGACGACGGGACCCCGCTGAGGAGTCGCGACTTGACACCCCCGCACAGTGGGACGCGCCCGGCAGCAACAGTTGACTCCGCTGCGGCCTTAAAGCGCAAATCTCATTTCGGCTCTTTAGTTTGGATTTGTCATGAGTTGTCAGGTGCGTTACCTTATTGTCTACAACTCGTTCGTTTGGAGTGTTTCGAGGGCTGAAATCGAAGTCTCTCTTCATTGAAAGTTGTTTGGGGTGGGAATTGAAAACTGCCCTTGTGGCATTAAAATACTAAATACTGGGAAATTAAAATACTAGTTTAAAGTTCGGAGTGATGGAAACTACTAATTTTTGCAACTCGGGGAATAATTTTTGTTCTTTTCTGCCCCGTAAAAAAACCAACCGTGCCCGTCTACGAGTTTTCATCATTTTATTTCGGAAAATTCTGACCAAAAATGGACGTAAATTTTCAGTTTCATACGATACATAATTTACATTTCGTTTTTTGTACTGCATTGATGTGAACGATTTTTACAAATCAACGAAATTGGTTCTGTCCAGATTTTTCCAAGTTTCTGTTACAATTTCACCTATTAAACACTATATTTTTCGGGGGAGGGAGTTTTTTTTGCTGCATTTAAATCTTCTACTCTATGATATAAAATCATAAAAGTAACGCTTAACGCATAGCGTCGAAGGTGCGAAGCACATCAGGAGGTTGGACCGCGGAGCGGTTAGAGGGATACTTTTTAGATTAAAATGATAAAATTACGGAAAAATAAATTTAAAAAAAAGTTACAAAAACACATTCTACGTGTGACTTTAACTCTATAGATAGCAAAGAAAGAGTAATTATTTTAAAATAAGTCTTCAGCTTTGAATTTAAGTTCTCTAAGGAATATGTTTTTTTTTTTTTAGTTAAAGTTAAAGCAATTGATATATGTAGGTCTATTGCAAGACAAAAGAAGAGATGTAACTAAAATTAAAAATTAAAAACAGATGAAAACAAAATAAAAATTCAAAACGTAATAATTGAAGCTAATTTTATTTGCAATAGACAAAACCCGAAAATTAATGAATTAAAATCAGAGGAAAAAAAACCAATTTTCACTGTATTTGTAATTTTCAAAACAAGGTCTGTTGTTAAATTATCGACAAAAATAAAACACTATATACAATGCGCACTTTCGTGACTTTAGTTATTCTCTTCCCTCACCCCCTGTGGGTCTTAACACGGAAGATCTAGCTGTGTTTTTGTGCGGACAATGAAGACATTTTGAAATGAGATCATTACATCAGAAATCTTAGTAAGATCTTAGCAATAGCGTATTTTTGTAACACGGTTGCAGCATGCTGAAAACAATAGCTGACTTGAGTGGAAAACTAACTTTTTGTAAGATAATGTTCACATTAGAGATTGAACTGCGCCTTAAATCTACGAGGTAGACTTCACAATATCCCAAGTGCATCAATAGTTATCGATTTTAAGGAACTTGCAAACTTAATCACGGAGCTATATTCAAATTAATGTTTTTGTCAAAGATATGCGCGTTTCCTTGTGTACAAGAATAATTTTCAGAAGTCCATAATTTGATGAATTTTATTAATTAATGGAAACTACTGAGTCAACTAAGAACAAAAATATCCTCGTCTCTGAACAATTCTGAAACGATTGCAAAAATCTGAAAAACAGCTGAAGGTGTTTTGACGGAATGATCTAATGTGCTAGGACACATGTTTTTAAATTGGAAATGCCGCCATTTGACGTCACGAGGCGAAACATTTTCTCACTTTCAAATCTATTTTTCTCCAGTTAGCCATATCAAAAAAACAATTCATGAAAACAACTATAAACTCAGCTCATCAAACATTTTTACACGAGCAATAAAAATTTCTAACACAAATAATTATTTTCATCTTGTATAACGGAGAATCATTTCTCTTTCATCGGATGTTTACATCCAAGTAGAAAACGCCGTTGAAAAAAGTCCAATACATCCCAAAATATCAAACAGGTCACGAATTAGACCAGGAATAGATCGTATTCGATACATCAAACGGCTGAGATTGTATCGATATCGATTGGTTCAAAATATAAACATAGCCTCAAAAGTAAATTCAGAAATCTGAGAGAACGGGTCTTTTGTAACAGATTATTTATTCTTTTGCGTACCAAATGCCAATTTAAAGTGAAATTGTTAGGAATTTTCTCATTTTCAGCTTTCCCAACTTAAATCCTTACAGTTTGGTTTGAGGTTATGTGCTATTGTTTTGAACCAAACGATACATCGAACCGTTATCGAATACGGTCTATTAGGATCGCAGCAGCAAAAAGAAATTGAAACAAGCTGATTTGGCAACAGTGAGAGGAAGTCTCGACGATGAGAGTAATTAATGATTCCTTGTCCAACAACGCGGAGCTCCTTTAGCGCCTTCGAATCCTGCCATGATAAATTGATTTAAAGGTGAAGATCTCAAACTTGAAAACAATAACCAACCAAAAGATGAGCCACTTCTTTCCTCAATCCGTTCTGTGCATCCCATCACCCGTGCCTAGTCCAAGAAGAGCGAATGATTGGCCGATGATACGAAGTTTAGACCCATGATGACAATTTCTCAACCATTATTTAGTGCCAAAAAATATCAGTATTAATGAGCGAATAATGTACTTTTCAGGAAAGAGGGTGGTGACAGGGAGTTTTGCAAGAAATGGGGGAGTGCAAACTCCCTGGAGGATTTTGGGAGGATACGGAATTTTGGCGGTGCGGTGTCGCAAAACTCCAAACAGTCCCGTGAAAGTAGTTTTTACATATGCATATACTTTTTATTAAAAAAAAGGATTTTTCCTCATTTAACAACCTTCAGTAAATTCAAAAGGAGAGAAATGTGATTAAAAAGGAACTATGCACCTTTTCAGCCAATTTATCTCACGTAAGTTGGTCTCATTCCTCCGAGCCAAATTTTTAACAGATTCTAAAGCTGAAATTTTTTCAGCACTTCCAATTCAAATTCCACGATTTTTTAATTAATAATGCGCAAAAAATACGTAGACATGTTATTTAATATTGCTATTATTCGTCGTGTATTTGACAAAGTGTACTCCACTGAAGTAAAATATTTCAATCTCCTTTCAGTCAGCAACTAATAATTCCAAACAATGGAATGCAACGGAAAGTATCGTGTCCAAAGTTTCTGGTGGTTTGAATAGTAATTGATATGTTAGATTTTAGCATGATACGCGTTTTTAAGTGTTATTAAAAATAAAAAATATCATTTGATATTAAATTATATTAGGGTTTAATATTTGTGAACAATTAATTAAAATAATAACTGATTATACAAATCGATAATAGATTCGCTTAATCCGTAGTTTTATAATTTGCTAGAACACAATGATGAGGAAACGAATGCAAGTAGTAGTATGGTTTTTCTAAAATTCATTAGAACTAAATTTCGATGCAAAATATTGATTTCAACATGTTTTCCTTAATTGCAATGACTGCGTTATTTTAATTATTTTTTCTTTTATCGCATTCACTTATTGCTGCTTAAATTTGGAGTAAACAAGCACATGCACTTCATTGGGACATATTTTGGCAATGATAATGTATTTTAAAAATAGAAAATATTGGAATAATTTTCAATGAAGTATGAATTCTAAAGATTGCGACTCGTATTATTTTATTGGGTGAGCTCATGACGTTTTTAAAATTAGATTTTAAATTTAAAGATTTCTAATTGATTGCTTTTAGAAAGAAACATATGATATTCTAGTCAACAAGTTTTTCAAGCAAGGTGAAATAAAATTATCGTCTTTAAATTGGATTGCGTTTTGCAAAAAGGAACCACTAGCATTGCAATGTTGCTAAGATTGTGCAACTTCTTTTGTCTTTGAGGAAAAATCCAATTATCCATTAATACTTTCTATTTTACTCGCTAAAAACTGTAAATTTAAGACAAAAATTACCATCAAAATTTCATGGTTTTTCACGATTTCCGCAATTTTATTGCAAAAGATGAAGTTGCACAATCTTAGCATCATTGCAACGCTAGTGGTTCCTTTTTGCAAAATGCAATCCAATAAGCTAAGTCTTTGCATAATGCGGTTTCTTTCTTCTTGGTTTTCAACCTGACGATTATGAAAAGCGGGGTCCCTTACTCGCCATTTAGTCATCTACAGAAAATTATTGAAACGAAAATGCTTCCATAATTTTCCTGACTATATCAGTGAAGTGCGTAATAGATAAGTGCACAGATATTATTACATTTAATTTTGCAACTTAAAAATCTAGTATCATGATATGGTACCAAAGTTTTAAATTTCAGAAGGATATTTAAGTTTTCAGTAAGTTTTCCATGTCATGTAAGTCATGTTTTTCAGACTGTGGCTACCATTAGCACCACCGTAAGAGCAATGTCATCTCTCTCTCTCTCTCTTCGTGATACCTATACCCCATCGTCTCTCATTTATAAAATCATGGGGTCCCGCCTTGGCCACTGCACGGTTCCTCCCCTAGGCGCCCTGCCCCTTTAGCAGACCGCTTTTCCACGGTAACAGGAAAAATTCGGAGACAACGAGTGCATACTCACCAAGAAAGTATTATCTGCACAGAAAGCGGGCGAATCATATAAATTGGCCCAATAAATCTTATTCGATATGCATATATTTCACCATCTATTAATAATATATAATATTTATTTTTTATTTTGACGCACTAGGGCATCCTGTGATTACCCATATCCGATGAAACTTGTCCTCACACAGATTATCAAAAAAATGACACAGTCTGATCTCCTCCTCCACGCTCTAACACTAACCTTCAAAGTACGCCCACAGATATCCTTAAGCCAGGGAGAAGAAATCTCTTGTTTAATCTTGACAAAATGTGAATTTTTAAGGAGTGCGCCGGCTTAAAGTGCACGGCTTTGAAGGGAATCAGACTAATTTTATCCGACGTTGCCAAATTTTCTCTCAAGTTTTATTTTGTCGTATGAGCAAAGAAATCAAAATGCTAACTTGGAATTTTGTGAGAATTTTCTTTATGATCTGGGGATATTCAGAGAAAACTTTAAGGTGTTACTTTGTTTCGATCTTTTTTTAAAAACATTGGACTGAAGAGGGAACACTATGGTAAAAAAAACCTCTTGGACCAATGCCGCATTGCATTGACTTAAGAGTGCAGTTTCTTGTCGCCGGATTTAAGAGTCTTGAACTCTTGTTTCAAGCGGATTTTGCATTGAAACAAGAGTCCAGACTCTTAAATCCGGCGGCAAGAAACTGCACTCTTGAACCGAGAGGTTTCTTTTTACCAGTGAATCGCCCTGAATTGACGCGTTAGGTTGATTTTGTTAAATAAATGTGCAAATGTCGCTTTGCAGCACTTCTCAACGCTCTATGACATCTATCCGCCATCGTTCTCTATCATACCCAAAACTTTCGAGAATCAAGCACTCTAACATTTCCGTTTCAATTCCATCCCTTTACCTTTTCATTGGACGCCCTCTCTACTTTCACTCAGGAGGAACCCAATTCAGAACCTTCATTGGCAATCTGTCTCTTGCCACTCTGTGATGATGATCATACCATTTAACTTATTCCGTCAAAAAGGTCTGCTAGATCAGACATAAGTGCTTCGCAGCTTTCAATTTGCCGGGCATCCTCTAACTCTACTTCTACTGCCACTAAAACCCCCAGGATCCTCTGTTAAATCTAGTTTTATACATATATTTATGTCGCTCTTACAGCACACTCTGGCGCGCTCTGCGACACCACCTACCCCCTTAACCTGCTCTCCCAGAGGTCATCGAGCAAGGAACAACTGGAAACGTAACGTACCTTCGTCGACACCCTGCATGGGACGCCCCCGACGCCCCGTCATCTTCTCCCAGGGGGTGCCCGATCCAAAACTCGTCAAGGCAACCTCTTAACCGACTTTCTTCGCACATGTTCGCACTTCGCTAACCGATTGAATCGACGTCTTGTAAGATAGTGCGTAAGTGCGTTTCACCTTCGTTACCTGGCGAATTTTTTCACATCGGACACAGTCGCCTTTTTGATTCATGCAGATCGCCGCTAATCATCCATTTCAGTTGCCCTCAAAGAACTACTCTCAACCACATATATACATGCATACATAAAATTAGCACAACGCCCTCTGGCGCTCTGCGACACCCAAACTCCACATATCCTCATCTCCTCACAGGTTATCGGGCAACTGATAACGCAATATCTCTTCATCGACGCCCTGCCGCCATCCCTTCATGGGTCGTCCCATCGTCCCCGTCGACTCTTTACAGTTGGTGCCCAATCCCAAACTTATCGGGCAACCTCCTCCAACATTCTTTGCACTACCCTCAACTACATCATGGGTGGCGGTAGCCACCTCCGGACAAAGTACATAGCCACTCCTATAGCGCTCTCTACCGCTCTGCGACACCTCGCCGCCAAAGTCCCCTATCCTCCAAAAGCCCCGAAGTCCCCTTTTTTCCCAAAGCCACTATACTCTCAAATATGTATGTATAAGCCACTTTCATGGCGCGCTAGGGCGCTCTGCGACGCCTATCCGCCACAGGAATCTGTCATGGTATAGATCCTCCGGAAGCTCGCATCTCTCCATCTCTTCACGGATGCCCTCTACCCACCGTTTGGCTGGACGCCCTCTCCGTCGCCTACCTGGGTGGACCCACTCAAACACCTTCTTCTGCAACCTGGTATCAGCCATGGAGGCAAGAACTCTCAACTACATACATTAAGCCACTTTCATAGCGCAGCCTCGCGCTCTGCGACGCCCAATCGCCATTGCCCCCTATCCTCCCAGAGACAATCAGGCAGTTGGCACCTTCTGATCTCCTCCTACACCCCTTGTCGCCAACCTTTCACAGGACGTCCACGCCGTCGCCTTCCGGGAGGAACCCAATCGAAAACCTGCTTGGGCAACCGATCGTATGCTATCCTTCGCACTAACTCTCAGCTAACTCTGGTTAATATAATAATGATGAAGATTGGTGGATGTCTTACCTTGACTGATCGACGACGGAAGGCTGCATCCATGACCTGGCGGCGGCGAGCTGCGAGGTGGAGAGGGGCTCCTCCTTGAGGCCGGTGACGGGGCCCCTCGGCTGGTGGTGGTGGTGGTGGTGGTGGTGGAGGCCGGCCGTGGAGGCGTCCTGGTGGTGGTGGAGCCCGAACATGAGGCCCCCGTTGCGGGCGGCGCCCGGGTAGAGCTTCCGCCCCCAGGCGGCCGCCGTGACCGGGTCCAGCTCCGGCAGGGCGAGCGGCGGCCACGGAGACGAGTAGCCGCACTCCACGTCACCCGCGCCCACTCCCGCGCCCCAGTATCGCCCGTCCGTGCCCAGCGTCGTCGTGATCCGGGCCTCCCCCGACCCCGAGGGCTCCTCCGCCTCGAGCTTCGTCACCGCGCCGCCCGAACCGCACACCTTGACCAACCGACCACCCGCGCCCGCGAGTCCCACTTAACCTAAAACCCGCACTATCGGAACCGATTCGTCAGGTTCTCATCAAGCATAAGCACGATCGTCTGATACACAACTGTCTCCGTTACGAATGTACGTTACGTGGTTGAGTACGTAAGCACGCTATAGTACACTATGAGTACGCACAACGTTCCGAAAATTCACGAATGTCAAATGTTTTGGTTTAAAATGGCGAATTTGTTACTTACAAGAAAACTATTGCACAAATATCAGTTTTTTTTGTGTGTAATAAAAAATACCAGGAAACGAGTTAAGGTTAATGATGATGTAATGTTCCACTGACACCAGACTTCGTGAATGTATTTTTTCAGTAATTTGCACACACCTATCAAATATTGCACAACTGTCCTTTCTTGCACAAGTATTAGTTGAAAATGTGAGATTAGCTGTAACACTGTATACTCTATCAAATTGTGTTGGTTGTATGAAGTTAGATTCCTCAAATAGGTGAGATTCGAAATGTGTTTGTTTGTAGTTCCAGGCTCAACACATAAAGCTAATTTTGATGTAGTACTTAATTGCTGATAACGTTTAATATCACCGGCATTGACCGTTTTGAGCTAGTTTCAGCAATAAGTCCAATAGAATGAACAGATTTCAGCCGTGGGTATCAATCTGCTGAGATCATAAAACTGCTCAGCCAGGTGTAGTAGCTGTGGTTGTAGGATGACTGAATTATTTCAAGAGGTAAAAATTTCCATCAATCGCAAGAATATTCAAAAGATCGGATAAAAGTCTCCGGCAAGCTGCGGCTTCACTTTCTAAACCTATCAATCATCTCTCCAAAGTTCACGAGCGATGAAAGATAATACAGCGCTGCGTGTCTGTTTACCTTTTCGAGTCTCAGGTAGTTCGCCGCCTTGATTGCAGATGCCGTTAGTAGTCGTTTGTTGTTGATGTGTCTGAGCTTTCACTCAAAGCTGATGCCATAATCCACGTCTTCCGATTTGTGAAATATGACGATGCACTGGATGTAATTTGTTTATATATACTCGATTTTAAAATAACTTTATAAAACACTGGAGCTTAGAACACAAATTTCACAAGTTCAGCCTTAATGGGGATGGTGAAACACATGTAGGCAAATTCTTGAAATAACAAAAAGTTGTCATTGAGTATGACCACGCACAATTTTAATGATAATAGATGAGTTTTTTTATTTTTTTTTTTTTCTGAGTTGAACGAAGTGCCGCGCGCTAAGTTTGTTGGAACCGACCGCGTGACGGAATCGCGTGAGATTTTCCCGAGACCGGAAATCGCGGATACGGAAAGCGGAAACTACGGCGCGACAAAGTCGCGGTTCCGAAAAAGAGAGACGAAGAGATCGGGGTCGCTCATTCGGCAATAAAATACCCGCGCGATTTCGGATAGGATCGGGAAGCTGGGTGTGAAAACTCCATGGTGTATAATAAAGGTGCGTCTCAAGAGTGATCACGGCAAGTCACCGGGGGGACGACTGATAGCCGAGCGTCGAGTCTCCGGGAGTTCGCCCCACGGGGAGGCGCCAAGAGAACGCCTCTCCGACGCCACCGCCCCGACGTCGCCGCCGACCAATGGGGTGCGCCGCTGCCGGGCGCCGTCGGCCAATCGCGGGCGCGGGTTTCGCGAGTTCGCCTCAGCGTCCCTCTCGGCCGTCACTGCGGAGCGTTCGGCCAGCTTGGATGAACGCGGGTAGGCCGCCAGGATTTCGTCCGTATTTAACACGTTCGTCTCGTTGGGAAGAAATTCGATTTAATTATTACATCGACGCGTTTTTATTACCTAACGATAGCTCAGCTAATAGATGTAGATAGAGATAAAGAGGGTCGAAAAATTTGGGATTTGGGGGAATCAAATTAAAATTGTTGCGCAATTCTTTCAATTTGCAAAAATGACTTTTTCAAGGGCAAAAATAAATTGATAATTTTTTACATTGTTAAAATATTGTACACACTATAGACAGTACATCAACAGAAAATAATGTCATTTTCAACGAAAAAAGAGCGTCTAATTACATACCTATAAATAATTTTTTAACTGCTTTTTTTAGAGATCCTGTGATAAAAAATCGTCATTTTTTCGTAACTTAAAAATATTTTCTTTTTTACGGTTAACTCGGGCATTAATGCTAAGATCAACCGACTGGATTCTTTTTTATATACTGCAGGAAGAACTATGACAGATATACATTTTAATGTACACAACTTCGCGCCTGCTGTTTAATTTCCTCTGCATTACATCTTCCCGTTTTACTAACACAACCTCATAAAAAAAGTCGAATTTGCCCGGAATATAATTGTCACATTACTACACCAGACGGTAATCCAAGGGTTAAGAAGTTTCTTTCCTAATTCTTTTCCGCTTCTTTTACATAGAGAGATACAGATTTTAGCCATTAGCTTAAAAATCCTAAAGTACACAACATTCCAGTCCGCACGTAAAACCCCTAAAAATAAGAATTTTTGTTTTGTTTTTTTCATCTACATTGGATTTTGAAAGATTTACCTATCATAACTCAAAACTTTGCAGTCTCTCGTTATTTGTATTTCTAATTCCTAAAATTGATTGATCAAAATTTGCCGAAGAACATAGTACGATTTAAATTTCCCTCTTTCATTTTTCAGACGCACGACAAAAAAACTTCGGTGAATTTTTGCGTGATAAGGTAAAATCCTTTTCCCCCACGGATTAAAATTCAACCATACTTTTTGTTGATTTGTAACTCAAAATCGAACGTTTCCCTCACGTGTGCATTTCCGGATTATTGTGGAGTAAGTAAGAGTGAGATTGATAATTATTTTCTTTTTTCGCTTATTTTTTTTTTTTTAAAAAAAAAGAAAAAAAAGGAAGAAAAAAACCTCATGGAACTGAAAATGTTTAAAACTGTTCTTTGAGTAATCCAAATTTAATATAAATCAAATATATAAATAATTCAAAATAAGCAGTATTTTCTGTACGAATCGCAATCTTGTTCTGGGACTTTTTCCACGACGTAATCACAGAACTCGTTGGTTTGTATATTTTATAAATAATTGATCATTACCACACCAGCTGACAATCATAAGTACCAAAGCTGTATTCTATTGAGAGTTCATAAAAATTGAAAGCTGAATTAAACTATTCAAATTTTACACCTAATATTTCAAAATCAAGTGAACTATCTTACAGAATAATCCAATTTTTAATGCTGTTAGTTATAAATGCATTCGCAGCCATTAAACTTTAAATTTTTTATTTTGATTTGAATTCGTAGCGTGAAATTTTCTGGATCACATATCCTAGTGATTTCCGAGGTAAGTTTGAGCCCATTTCCTGTAGAGTTTTTAAAGCCTGAAGCATTATAGCGATTAGTTTTCATTCAACAAGAGAAATAATTTTGAGTTCGATATTATTCTCTCTCTTTCAGAAGTATCAGTATCAGATTATAATGAACGTGTAAACAATTTTAACTGCTTACTTTTTCAGCCTGTTCTCTTTTTTCCTGGATATTAAACGATTTTCGGTGAAACTAAGAAGATTTTTCGTTACATCAATCAATGGACGCAAAATAATTTCTTATATTTTATTGCAATGGAAACTCGACACCGAGTGGATGCATTTTTGAAGAAATAATTTTCAAACGCAAGACTACGTTTGCAATAACTGGCTATTCTATGTAATTGAAATATATCATTTCTCAATTATATTGAAACTAAATTAAAATTAAATTTTCTTTTTCTGCGTCGCTTAATTGAACCGAATAATTTTTTTAAATGCAATCCTTAACTGTGGGCGCTCGTTTATAATTTATTAAAAATATTGAAGTATTCAATTTATTAAATTAAAATGTAATTATTAATTTATTTATTAAATTCGATCGAAACAAATAAAGGAAAAAGTATTAGTTATCTGTTTTGCAACATGTGTTACACATGAAAACTCCTAAAATTGAAGGAAAACCATAATCTATATTTAAAACTTATAAATGGCAATGAACAGTAATTTGACTTCCTGTAAGTGTAGGTACTCTACGCACGCAAACGGAAATTATATGAACACTCAAATTATGTCCGATTCATACAAATTGTTAATAATGCTCTTAATATGATTATTTAAACTTTCATATGATTTATTTGTCTAAAAGTTGAATAAAATGAAGAATTGAAAATAGTGTGGTGGTGATATGTGCGGTTCGAAAATATTCCGCAAATTTTAATGACTCTAGAATGTTCCGAAACTTCAAATAAATCTTTACTTCATTTTTCGTTTTATCAATTCAATTGTCCCGTTAAAGTTCCTGTTTGTTACTCTAAAAATACAAAATTCCCTAAACCAATTTTTAGCCTCAAATGGAGCCTCAGTCCATGGAGGCCAATTTTTTACTGTAGATGTTTTCATCGAGTTGAGATGAAAAATCGGACCATAAAGTTTCACCATAAATTTTGCTCTAGTGTCGTAAGGAAGAAAGTGCAAGGGACTCAGTTAAATTTTTGCGTGAGCGTAAAATATAATTCTAATATGACGATTTTTCCTCTTAGCATTGTAGGCTCGAATTTCAAACAGCATTTTCCATTGAACTACGTTTTTTGAAACGCAAACGTCGAACCGCCTTCATTTGATCCTACACATTTGCGCGTTTTTTACACCGAAATTTTTGTAGAGCGTGCATTTTCCACTCGGATATATATCACCCAATTTTGAGTTTTTAGAGGGCTTACGACCATTTTTTTCGTAGCCGTCACTTTTGCAAAATGTAATAAATTTATAGGCAACCTTAGATTCGGGAGGCACACTGACTGTTAAGACCAGCCATTACTGGTGAATGTCATTTTGTAAAACCGAACCACCTTTTTGGCTCATTGTAGATTCAGCATATGTGTCAATTATATTTTCCTTGTGATGCAGATGGAGGCTTTTATATGGTTAGAAATAGTAGTTCCGCATTGCAAAATGTAATCCAGCATCCAGCTCAAACTCATCCTGCTATTTCAGTCACATCAGCGTAGCGTTTATTCTAAACCCAGTCCTTTCCGATTCAAATCGAGAGCAATTTAACGTGCAATCGAAAATGCGAACAAATCCTAGATAATAACAATAATTTAATCGCACAGCAGTGGGAGCCGGGTCAAGTCTATACTTAAATGGTGTTTTTCGCTCCAAAAACACCAACAATTCATCGTTAATAGGCTGCGCGGTGGGTGAGACTCTATTGAAATTCGCATAATTTATAAAGGATGAGCGAGGTTGTGTTTTATACTGACTGACAAATTAAACTGTCACCAGGGACGCGGACAATGAGCCAGCGAGTCCAGCGCGGTGTCAGGTGTAGGTATGCAACCCGCCGGGCAAATAAATCCCTAAAAATGACGCCTTCCGCCGCGTATTAACATATTTTTAACGGGCACTTACCCCGAAAATGGTAATAAATAGGCGCAGCCGTCTAATCAATGCTTTGCCGATATTATGTATCCTCATTTTACGATTAAGGGTGGCTCCGCCGTGAGATATGGTTTTCCGAGTCTGTGCCTCTGTACACCGCGTCGCACTGAACCTGTGATTTTGCTAGTTGGACACTTTGATGATTAAACTGAATGGTTTTAAGCGCCCGATCGAGAGCAAAGTCCCCAAAATATTTTTTTTTTTTTAAAAAAAATGTCCGCTATTTTTAGAATAGGAATAACGAGGGAAAATATTGAATGAGAATGTTAAAAAAAGAAGTAAAAGAAATTAAACAAACGTATGAAATTACTTTATACATTTCAGAGAAAAATAGCGGTTAAAAAATGTACAGTCATTACAAATTTAAAAATATTACAATGGTGTTTTAAGAATAAAAATGGAGTTTTTATATTTACACTATCTGTGCAGTGTACTGTGCTGTAACTGTTCACTGACAATGAGTACATTCAAATTCTCAATTTTCCAAGTGTCAAAAACAAATCCATGCGAGAGTCTCTTTTTTTCTCGAGTGCATGACATTTTTAAGATAGATATTTTCCAATTTAAGTTCTTGGCGTATCTAACTGTGATAACTTTATTTTTGAAACCATTAGTGTCAAGGTATCGATTGTAGCACGTAAAAGGAGGAAAACATGTTTGTAATTTTTTTTATGTAACGATTCAGCTACACGGGCTCGTGTATGGGACTCATGCAGAAGACACCTTATTGATGGGGGTCTGAGCGCCCAAGAAGACACTTCACCAAGTGGAGTCTGGAGGGACTTCCTCAGATCCTAAAGCAGGTTCTCAGGGCTTCTCCGTAAAATTATTTTGGATATTAAGATGTCTAATCATTTTTGAGCTACTCCTCCATAAAATTAATAGAAATACAATTTCACAGATAACACAAATGCCACGCACTTATTTATGAAAAAAATCTTACATTTAATGAACAGGCTATAGGTAGATATTTGGGGGGTTGGCTCCACTGAGCCCTCGCTGACTAAAAAGTGCTCAGCTTATAGTCATGATGTGTCTTGAAAT